AGATACAGGTACAGATGATGGTCCTCCAAACCCACCCCCATACCTGAAAGAGTTCCCGGAGCGGACACTGGCCAGACTTCACAGCTTTCTCTTATCACTAATCATTTGCTTTTGTTTGATTTAAATACTTTAAGTTACCCCTTGCTCTTATTTCTGTGATTTATTTTTTTCATTTACTTATTCAGGACCAGTTTGACTTTGCTTGATTTGTTTTTGGTTTATTTTTTGACTTTGTATCACATGTGTTTTAAGTTTTTGTTAACTAATAAAATAAAAGTGGCTTTTTACAGAACATGTATGTGGCTGTATTGATCAGAGAACACTTATCAATGAAGCAGCTCTGCTCCAATCAGATACCAATGAACCCATCATGCATCAGTTCCTGAAAATCTGCATGTGTTTCAAAGCATGATTAAAATAAAAAAAAGGTTCATTCAGATATTTACTGGCCAAGAAGCTTTAAATGCTGATCATAGGCGGATCATTTTGAGTGGTCACAATGCAGTTGACCTTCACACAGAGAGCTTCTTTAAGAGGTAATAAGCTGAACATTTACCATTCAAGTCTCAGATTATCATGAATATAGCCACTGGTCCCCCCTCGTCAAACATAACTGAGATTTGTTGTCTTCCTCCTCCCTCACTCCCACCTCCCTCTTTTCTCTTGCAGAGTCCTGCCCGAGGTTTCTCTGCAGCCTCACGTGGAGCCGCCTCGATGGAGCGAAACCAGCGAGCAGCCACAGAAAGGTCTGCATTTCATTCTAGTTTTTTCTCCTTTTCATTAGTTTTTTATCAATTTTTATCAGCTGCTGGACAAAGATGTTGAAACAATTTCCTCAAAAGAAGTATGAAAATGATTTATTTATTGACCTCCACAGCTGACTCGGAGCAAGAATCAGAGGCCAGCTACGCATCTCCCCCCCCCAGGGACACCTCAGGTAGCGGGAACTCGAACCGAGCCAACAGCAGACGCAGGTGAGGCAAACCTTTCAGTTTCATGTGCTTTTTTTATTCACTTTCTACACATAATTTGAAGAGAATCTAGCTGCAGACCTGCACTGTCAGGACAGGAAATTTATTTCAAGCCTTTCAAAGTAAAAGTAAAGTTAGTATACAGGAAATATTTTATGTTCCCGTGTTTATTCTCTTGCTCTTCATAATTGAAATGCATTTGTCTATTCATGAGTTAAATTTTATATATATATATATATATATATATATATATATATATATATATATATATATATATATATATATATATATATATAGCAATGCAAGAAAATAACAAAAATAACAGTTATTTTATAAATACATCTCTTGTTTTTTTTGTTTTTTGTGAGTATTAAATTATATATTCTTTACTCTTTTAGTATTGTTTGTGTTGTTTTTACCTTTGCTGTTGGACCACAATGGAGGGTGTGGGATAGATATCAAATTAACTTAGCTTTGTGTTCTAACAGTGAAATACTGAATACCTAGATACATGAGCAAAATAGATTATAACTTCAGTTTTTTCCCAACAAAACCGTGAAAAAAATGGAAGCAAAAAAAAACATTTAAATGTTAATTTATATTGTTGGAAGTGTTTTTACTGTCAAAACAGCAGATTTAACGGCATGACGTGCAGCGTTTTTTGACAAAATGCCAGAGGGAGTCACAATTGAAACATGCGTCTGTAAGTGACGGATAATGTTGTAATAAGTAAAGGAAAATCACCCAAAAATTATATAATGAAGGAGTTTTTTTCTTGGTCTTTAAATGGATTTAATTGTGCACTCATCTCACAAAAAACATGTAATCTTCTAATAGAATCAGGCAGCACATAGTTGCTGCACGCTGTTCCTGAAGGCTTTCAATAAAACATCTGGAATAAACTTCCTGTCCTAACAGTGCAGGTCTGCAGCCAGACCCCCATAATTTAGGCTCTGCACCAAGAAACATAAAGTTAACTTTATGGAGTTCCTACAAGAAAGCTAATTTCTAGAATTCAGAATATTAAAACCATTGAACTGTTTTTCAAATTTGAATGGTGTTAGAAAATTGCTGTAGTGTAGCTCTCATTTCAGGTTTTTAAAACTATTCAATGTTCTGGGTCATTCATTTAATATGAACTGGTCACTAAAAAAAAACAAAAAACAAAAAAAACATTCCCCGCTCTGTGAATGTTTAGGCCTAAAGTTCAGGTTTACTCTTTGAACAGAGAATAAATCAGCAAAAGGATGTCTGAAAATAATAAAACTACAAATAAGAAGATGTTTAACATAAATGAGGTCATCCTATAACAGTAATAATAACAAAACTGGAAGGTTACGCTTGAGAGCGAGAAACGAGTTTGGTTAGTCTGTCCTAGTCAAACGCAGCCATTCTCTGTTTTCTATTTTTTTAACCCTTGTTGAATAAACTCTGCACACACTGATGCACATGACAGGACTTCCTGTTAGGATTGCACCACATTATTTCAAGTGCTGAGGACCCACAATGCAACAGGATTAAATCCCTCCAGTCCAAATTAAAATGTTCACGTCTGAACCAACCTTTACTGATAGACTTTAAACCTCACACCCCTGAATATTTATGATCCAAACTAAAAATGTATCTTTGTATTTTTAAAGCTGAAGCTCTCTTAGCTCAGACCAACACAGAGGGAAATGATATCTGACTAACAAAATGCTAGTTTGATCAGTGTTATATTTATTATTTTTTGTAATATATATTTTATATATATTTAAGATACATATTTTATATATATATATAGATATCGATAGATATATTTTTTTAAATATTTTTCAGTCTAAATGTATGTTTCTGTCTAATCTTCAGAAGCTGAACTTGATTAGTGAATATTTTAAACGGATAACTGTTGACGTTTCCTTTTTATTCTTTTTTTTTACACTGTTATGGATAAAATGTGACAAATTGGTTCTATGTTTCCTCAGAGTCCTGTCTAAGAAGGCAACTTCAGTCCCTTCAAAGCAGGATCCTCCACGTCAGGTCAAATCCCCGACCCGACCGCCCCCCGATGGTGGGTTTACTCCTTCCTGTGCTCTCACTGTCATTTATCACCAGCAGCAGTAGAACAGCGACCGTTTCTCACCTTCTCACCTCGTTCTTTCTTAGAGTCCTCAGAGTCGGATGAGCTTTCACATCTCAGGAGGTCTGGCAGCTCTGAGGGAGAGGATCAGCGCCGCAGGTACGACAGAAACACCCCGATACACAAACTATGACTTAAACATGTCTGATTACAGTCCAGGTTTCTCATTTATTTATTTAAAGAATGAGCTTAAGTAAAATTCTCCTTTCATTTCATTGACTGATGTTAATGTTTGATTTTTCTTTACATATTTTGAGTAGATGTTTGATTGGCAGAATATAATGAAACATTTCTATTAACTTAAACCTAAAAATTTGAACTAATTATTTCTAATATTTCACACTAAAATAACCTCAATAAGCAGAAATTTATAGTAAATGTATCTTTTATTTGGAGGTCAGTAGTGTTTCCGTTCACTAAATAAAATTTTATTTTATTATTTTTATACATCATGGCAGCTTCTTAAGTTGCACTCATATAAATGACCAGAATTAGAGATAGAACTCTGAAAAACAGATTATATTTGCAAAAATGAACAAATATATGACAGTTAAAATTTTGATGCGTTTTATTTCTCTTAATTCTAATCCGTCTTCCTTGAAGTTCTCTGTTGTTTAATGCGTTTGGTTTTCTCCATCCTGTAGCTTCCTCCTCTATCAGATCAAATTCAGATGAAACCATGAAAAGCTTTTTACCGTCACATGTAAAAATAAAGGAAGGAGGACAGAGCATAACACCTTGTTTTTTTTGTCCTGCAGTGTTCCCCGCGGAGCTAATGGCGGCGGCGCCATCCGATCTGGGATTTCAGTGAAAAATAACCCTCAACTCTACTGTAAGAATCAGGATAAGAACATTTAACTAGTTTCCTCTTTAATGGAGGGTCTCAGTAATTATCACAGTTGAATTTCCTCATATTATTTCCATTTAAAGCATGAAATCGATGATGATGTTTGAATTTCTCTTACAGCCAAACCTGTGGAAGAGCCTCTCTATTTCCTACCTCCAGACTCGTACCCGTCCTCTAATCCTGGGTGAGGATTCATCTGCCTTTAAGCTCAATTAATCAAACATTCCAGCGCTCTGATTTTTTGTCTCCATCTTCTCTTTTAGGTATAGCTCGGATGTAAATACGGTGAGGTTTGTTAAAGGCCGCAGTTTGGGCCTAAGACTGGTGGGAGGCAATGATGTGGGGATCTTTGTAGGTGGAGTTCAGCCAAACAGCCCCGCATATGAAGAGGGGATGAAGGAGGGAGACCAGATCCTGAAGGTAACCTCCTGGGTGGGGCACGTCTTATTATTGGGCTCTCTATAGAGTTTGGAGCCCGAATCAAGGTTTTGGTCCTTGTTTGTTTTAGGTAAATAATATCGATTTTGGCCATTTCACACGAGAAGAAGCTGCCAACTTCCTCCTGAATCTCCCAGCAGGAGAGCGGGTGGAAATATGCACTCAGAAGAAGATGGACAGTAAGTGTGGAGACAGGTGATCATGGCATGAGTTACTTTTAACCTGCATCAACCCTAACGTCCACCCGTCTTTAGTCTACAAGAAGATCACCAAGTCCAGCCTGGGGGACAACTTCTACATCCGTACCCACTTTGACTACGAAACGGACGAGCCCCGGGGCCTAAACTTCACCAGGGGAGAAGTGTTCAGGGTCCTAGATACGATGTACAAGGGGAAGATAGGCAACTGGCTGGCTGTCCGCATGGGGAACGACCTGCATGAGATGGATAAAGGCATCATACCAAACCAGGAGAAGTAAGGAAGGAGGCCCTTCAGCAGTAATATTACAAACTTCACTGTATTATATTACAATTTTATTAACTACTATTGGATGACATGAACGATTATTTCAAAATGTTTGTGTCATATTCTTCCCACAAATTAGCGTCGGTCAATTGGTTAAAATACGTTTAGGTTTTAGGAGTTGACATTGTCAAACTGATTAACCGTCTCCTCCAACCATCGCCTCTCTCTGCAGGGCAGAGAAACTGGCCACCATCGAGCGCTCACAGCGCTCCACTGGAGAGAGGCAGGGTACCGGGCCCAGAGCGGAGTTCTGGAAACTGCGAGGGCTCCGAGGAAACAAGAAGAACGAGAAGAACAACAGACGAAGCCGGGAAGACCTGCTGCAGCTCACAATTCAGGGCAAATTTCCCGCCTACGAGAAGGTCCTCCTGAGGGAAGGTTAGCAGACGGACTTTCTGGGCTCAGAAATCACATCCAGGTCAGTTTTTAAACACTGAATGATTTTTGTTGTTTTTTTCCAGCTAATTTCAAACGACCGATCGTTATCCTGGGACCTCTGAATGATATCGCCATGGAGAAGCTGGTCCATGAGATGCCTGATGAGTATGAGATAGCAGGTTAGTGTTCTGCTCCATCTTTGTTCTTTTCTAACCAGTTTCATATAAAGCGTTGCACGCCCTGGTGTTTGTTCCTGACTGCTTTGAGCTGCGTTCTCACAGAAATGGTTCCTCGCAGCGGAGGAGGAGACAGTAGCTCCACCGTTATTAAACTGGACACTGTAAGAAGAATAGCAGAGAAGGTGAGAAACGACCATCAACATTCAGCTTTAAATATTTTTCTGTCTTGTGTTTATCCTCTGAATGGTTATGGATTTGCTCCCTTTAGGACAAGCACCCCCTGCTGGACATCACTCCAACTGCAGTGGAGCGACTGAACTACATCCAGTACCACCCAATGGTGTTGTTCCTGGACCCCCATAGTCGCAAGGATGTCAAGACCATGAGGCAGAGGTACAACCCCAACTCCAACAAGAGCTCCAGGCGCCTTTACTCACAGGCCGTCAAGATGAAGAAACACGCCAACCACCTGTTCTCAGGTATTTCTCACTGCAGTAAAACTTAAATGTTTCCAGTTTTCCTGTTGAATAAGGCAGTCTGACTCTGGAACGTTCTCCTGACTTTCCCTTTCAGCTTGTATAGAGCTGCAGCCCGGCACCCACAAATGGTACGACACCCTGAAGGACAGCATCCGGCACCAGCAGTCCAAGCCTGTCTGGGTGTCTGAGGTCACGGTATGTCCATTTTAGATTATGTTCAGGAAGTTTTTCAATCCAGGAATGAAACGGCTGCCAGTCTTGATTTAAACTGGAAAACACTGTTTTCAATTTTCATCACATTATTGCTGCAGTTTAACATCCTGTTAATGAGGTGCCTGATCAAAATAGGACAAGTACAGGTAATCCTGTACTGCAAAAACGATCTAGATATAAGTAAGAATATCTTAACTTAAGTGTATTTATCCTTATTTGAACAGGTAAATAAGATTTTCAAATGGAATGAGTGTATTTACTCTTAAAATAAAATAATTAGATAAAATGCACTTAAAATAAGACCATACAATTATTTTGTTTCTTATTTTAAATGTAAATTGTCTTGTTCCATTGGCAAAGTGTCTCACTTACCTCATTAATTCAAGGAGAAAATGCACTTATTTTAGGAAGAAAAAAGGACTTTAGATTTCAGTGTTTTGCAGTGTGTGGGACTGTAAAGAGTAAATCACACGGATTCCCCTCCTGAATCAAACATATCATGTTTGATTTAAACTAAAGCAGGAATGAAACAGAAAAAACTTGTAGTAAATAATCTAATCCCATCGGAGCATCGGTCAATCTTTAGATTCAGACTAAATGAGCTCAGAATTAGGAAGAGGAAAGAAATGTTTTTAAAGTGAAACTGTTGAGTAAAACATCCTCATAGCATTTCCACTTTGTAGACATGAATCTTTATGTTGCAGTTTGCAAACATGTATATGTGCTGATGTACTCGGACTGATTCAGATTATATTGACTACATTTTCTTAGTGGTGGTTAAAGTTTTTATAAGTCAGGTTGTTTTATAATCCAGCTTAATTTCTTTAAATCCTCTTCACTTTCCATTCTGTCCAGCTGGAGAGTGGAGGGGAACAGGACTTGGATGCTCTGGACCCGACCCAGATGGACTACCTGAGTGCCGCCAGTGACCTGGAGGACACAGACGGAGAGGCCATCACAGACGGAGAGGCCTACACTGACAATGAGGACCTGGAGGAGGCCTATCCTGGTCAGAACGTCGCCAGGTTCCCACAAAGCTCCAGAAATCAAGGTGCCGCTTTGGCTCGATCGTCCGAACCGGCCTTGGAGTACGAAACCCCGCCTGTTGAACGAGAGCCGAGTGAGAACGGCTATTCGGACAGAGAAATCCCACCGTTGATGCATGTGCCAGAGCCCAGGTCGACCCGACAGCACGACTACAGCCCGCCCCGGAGTCCCGCTGCAGAGGAAGAGACGTCTCATCGCAGTTTCTCAGACTCTGACTTCGATGCTCTTGATGTCGACCAACGCTCAGATGGACCACCAGATTTTGTAGCCCCCGATCCTTCAAACCGACACTCCATAAACAGACCATCATATGAAGAGGAGGCGCCAGAGAGCCCGCAGCCCGCCCCGCTGTCAGCCATCGAGGAGCGATTAGAGCAGGTTTGTTCAAACAGAAGCTTGATTTTTACAAATGAATTTATTCTAGTTTGCAATTGTTCTTCTGATTTTAGGATTTTTTTCAACATTTTTAAAAACAATTCAGCCTCTAAACTTTATGCAGCTTCATATAGAAGAATAGAATAGATTCCTTATAATTAAAGACCTTAAACATTAGAGAATATTAGGATATGCATTTATCTGGCCTTATTATATTTTAGAAATCAATTTACGATGCTAGTTAGATTTTTTTTTTTTTTACGCAAAGAATGTCCTGTTCAGTTTGGGCCTTTAGGGATTTACCTGAACTGTTCTTTTTTACATGGCGGAACGATTGGATGAATTTAGACTTTATTCTCAAGCTACTTCACAGACGATCAAAGTTAATAATAATTCTTAAATATATGCATGCACCCCACACTACTAATGTTTGGATTAAACTTTGACTGCATGCTTTATGCAGCTGGATATTAAACTGTATTTTTATGCAACAGAAGGATATTTTGATTGATTAAGCAGTGGGACTTGATTAAGATTAATCGCAATAATTACAGGTTCTCTTATAAATTCATTTTTTAATCGCATTTGAATTGACAGCCATGTATCAACAGAATAAAAAAAAATTCATTTTTTTTTCACAAACAATTTTAACAATTAATATACAAGCAGAGCAACACAGATATTAATTGTTTTTCATCCATCACATTGGTTAAAAGTTATAATTGTTCAGTTCTCTTTTAGAAACCTCTAATATTTTATTACTTCTATCGAAGTGTAAAAAGTACATGAACATTCATATAGCAAGGAGGAGTGCTGAGAAGGTTACAAGTACCCGGTCCTCATCTTCTTACAGTCAGCCTCAGTTATTAGGAAATTTCAGACATTCATAAAAATACCAGCTTCCCTGCTGTGTCACACCATTTCCAGTGAGGATTCTTCTCAGCAGTGTGATGAACCTCAACGTCTGTTGTTGTTTCCTGCGTCTGTAAGCCCTGATTAGACTATCGTTTGTCGTATCCACTTCCCAAAAGCCGACTCTGTCAAGTAAATTCACCGAAGGCTGCCTTCTTCGCCTGACTCTCCGCAAACAAAGAAATATCACAATGATAACCAAACTTCCTGAATGTTACGCTACTTAATGCCACCTGAGTGACAAAATCCACCTGGGTGTTTAGTCTATAAATAACACCATGGGGACCCCCATCAGGCTCCTGGGAGCCTCTCACAGAGAAGTTCTGAGTGGCTGGGAGTCAATCACAGAACCATGGTTACAGTTAACCCTTAAAACCCCAAAGAACCAACACTTTTATGCTGCTCGTGTTTAAATACAGAGGATTATGTAAAAAAAATATGCAATTAATTGCCTCAATTTATCTAATGAGTTAAAATCTTAATAATTAGCCAAAATTAATGCTTTAACCCTTTATAGTGCTTAATATACTTAATATACTTTGAAAATCAAACTTTCCAGCCAAGAGTGTTATTGAAGGACAGGACAAGACTTAATTTTTGCCATCAAAATATACAGAAAAAGAAAGAGCCACTTGCCCTAACATAAGAAAAATAACAAAAGCGCTTCCATAAAAAAATTATTAAAAATACTGTTTTTATACATTATTTTTTGCTACATCTCCATCTTAGAACTTTAATGCTGATACAAGCACTTACATTTTTTACTTTTATGACTTGGCTTATTAACTTTTTAACATTTCAATTAGCTTTTTACCTTTTTCTTAACTTAACCTTTTTCAGCTTAGTTTACAGTAGGTAAAATATCATCTAATAAGTGAAATAATAATTTTTAAGGGGTGATCTAAAAATGACTTGCCCGGGAATATTTTAAGGTCTTGGCTCTAGTTTCAAAACAGAAAATGTTTAGGTATACTTTGTCTGGAACCTTTAAGAAATCTAAAACCCTTCAGTCCAAGGCATACGACTGATATTCCTGGACTAGAACCCCCCTGAGTTTACTGTATGGAAGGAAGATGCTTCTGAATCTACAGCAAAACAACACAAAGACAATTTCCCCTTAACTCCCATAATGGTGCTTTCACACACCCCACGCGTTCGAGCAGCAGAAGCAGCCAGTTTACATGCAAAGTCTATGGTTGATGCATATCAAGGGGCATCAAAAGCTCCTGCAGCACATCTAGCAGCAGGAGCAGCGCCTCATGAGCTTCTGAGCAGCACAAGCTTTTGAGCCTCTAAGGCGCTTGACGTGCTTCACAAGCAGAAGATGCTAGAGTTGGAAAAACAGAATTTTTCCTGCTGGATGCGCCACATCAACCAATCAGAGAAGCTGATCTGGGAGCTGGCAGGGAGACAGACACAGCACTGCTGATGCAGTGATCACTGAAACAGTTTAACGCCTAAATTGACTAAAAATGTGGAAACCTGCCGGCAAAATATGTTCCTTTTTATTATCCTGCTGCGTGCAGTTTGGATTATGCACATGGAAAACGCCAACATCTACTTCCAGCTGCCACCAACAGTAGGGGAAAACCCCCAAGAGGCAACCAGGCCTGAGGCGGCGGCTGCTGGTGGGGATTCCCAGTAACAGCGCACCGCCAGTACGTGGGAGTCTGGGCGGCTCCAACAGCAAAATAATATTTTCTGGCAGGATCGTAATCTGGATGAGCGGACTGCACAGTTGATGTTTTTAGCTGGACTTTCTCGAATAAAAATAAAAATACTTTTTACCTGCTGATCACAGCAAATACAGTAAAGCCACTCTCTGCCAATAAACACATGAGCAGCAGGAGCATCAGACGCGTCTGGACACACTCCAGGCACTTTTTTTGCTTTTGAAATCGTGTGTGAATGTAGCATTAATGATAAAGAATACATTAAAATGTACTTTAACATGTATAGTATTTGAATCACTTGCTTTAAATTCACTTTTCGCTCTCTGTTTTAGACACGTATGGCAGAACCACAAGCCCAGGCTGAGGGAAAGAAAGGCCCGGCCTTCATTGTGTGAGTCTCCACTTCCTCCTCATTGGACGGATTCAGTAAAAGCTGACTGGTTCTGGCTGCTGACTCTCTGCTCTGCACCTCCTCAGGTTGGCTCATCACCACCAAGCGGTCCAGTACAGACGGACGCAGATCCAAGGCAGCGACAGCTCCGACGATGACGAGTTTGACGACGATGACGTGGTGGACGACGTGGAATGGGGTCCCGCCACGGAGCTGTAGAGGAACAGGGGATTCAAGATGGCGCCAATAACAGTTTCACTCCATTAACCCATTATTGATTGCTAGATTTTTTAAATGTGTCTAGAGAGGGCAATGTTGTCAAATGTTTGACAAAGCTTCAGAATTTCCCATCGCAAACATTTTGCCCCGCAAACATGAGATCAAAGTGCCTGTTTTTTTTCAGTTTTATATTTATTATGCTTTAAAAATACTTTAAAAAATGTTTGTTATAACTGTTGTAAAATATTAATTCTAGTTATATTAGCAATGATGTCAAACACAGAAGACCACTCATGAAAACAGTTTTTAAAACTTTTCTACAATAAACCATTGTTTCTAATTCAGAATTGGTCTATGAAGTCATTAAACACCAAATGCAAACCTTTTGAGGAATATGCAGAGTACATTTTCTGCTCCACATAAATGTCACAGAAAACTTTAAAATGCAGAGATCATCCTGCTGAAGCCATAAGCCTAATTTTAACAATGATATGAATGACGTTGGCTGCATTCACACTACACGCCTTAATGCTCAATTCTGATTTTTTTGTGAAATCCCATTTTTCTTTTTGTGTTGCTGTTCACATTTGCAGATATATATTAGTCTGCGATTTATGTGATCCCCTGTGTGAACTACATTCATACAACCCAAGCGTCCCTCATGTGCAGTGGAGGATGTAATGATGTCACACGCTCTGTGTTTATGAAAGTAAACATTAATGGTAGTGCTGGAGCGCATCTAGCAATCTTTCCCAACCTTAAAAACTCAATCTTTTCAAGATGGTTTAAACAAAAAAGCCTGCTCTCTGCATTATTGTTCACCCTGATTGTTGTTTATCTTGCCACTTCTGCGTACTAAGACCCAGAATAGTCACCTTTGTCGGGTATTAATGGTATATAGGTCAGATGAATGCGACCTGGACGTTCAGACACAGGTCGCATTTGAAAAGCTCAGATTCGTATCGGATTCAGGACCACATAGACAAGCGGCCTGGGTCGCATCGGAAAAAATCGGATCTGTGTTGTTCAGACAGCCATGAAAAGATCAGATACAGGTGACATTTGGGCAAAAAATCAGATCAGGCTGCAGTGTGAACGCAGCCTTTGATCCACTGAATTAAGAAAAACCCTGAAATGATGTGAAAATCGTTTAAATATAACTGAATGTTTCATACACAGGGAGCTTGTTCATAAAAACTGAAGATTATTATTAAGAGGATCATTATTTTACATTTTATTTGACGGCGGGTTCACTGAAAACTGATGAATAGCTTTTAAAAATGTAAAAAAATATGTATAATTTTTTTTCTAGATGGAATAATACATTAAACATCAAGAATGTTTTGTTGAACTTTCTTTAACAGAGATTTGGAATTAACTACACAGTAAAATATATAAATACACCACCACTAATATCTGGATGAACTGACTATAGACAGGCATCATGTCTGACTGAACTTGTTATCTGAAATAGCAGGATTTGTTTGAAGTTGGTTTTAGAGCAACACCCAGATTTTTTTTTTTTTTTTT